CAGACAAATGGCTCACACCTGTAATCTTAGCATTTTGGGAGGCTGAGTCAGGAGAATAGCTTGAGTCCAGGAGTTCAAGACCAGCGTGAGCAAGAGTGAGACCCCATCTCTACAAAGAAAAAGAAAAATTAGCTGGGCGTGGTGGTACGTGCTTGTAGTCCCAGCTACTTGAGAGGTTGAGGTCGAAGAATTGCTTGAGCCAGGAGTTTGAGGTTGCAGTGAGCTATGAGATGGCCATTGCACTCCAGCCTAGGTTGCAGAGTAAGACCCTGTTCCTGCCCCGCCCCTCCAAAAAGAAAAAAAAATAGTATATACATGATATGTCATATTTAACATTTGCATATTAAGAAGTCATAGTCAAAATGTCCTTAGGATCAAAACAAATAATGACGGCTAAGATTAAACCTGAAATACCTCTCTGGTCCAATGGTTACCCAGAATCCACCTGGTCTTCCTCACCAATGTTGCATTTCAATTCTAATTGCATGATCAAACCAAAAAATTGAGCCCAAGAGACAAATAAAAAAAGTACCTAGCTGAAAAAAATCAGAGGTTACAAGAAAATGCTTTTCAAGTACAAGTAATGCAAGAAACAAGTGAAGTGAAGGAGATGTTTCAAAGCTTGAAAGCCAGTCATCAATACTGACAGATTACTGTAATTCTGGCTGCCAGCATGATCGATTTGGGTAGCATATGACAATCAATATTGTCCTCATTCAGTGAACAACATTAAGTTCATAGTTACAGAAGATGTTCCTGGGATAAAATCTAAACAGTATTTAATGATCATAAATAGCACAATTTATGCTGTGGAATCTTAGTGGGTACTTTAATTGGACATAAAATAACTGACCTGTTTCAGAATGCTTGGTTTTTTCCTTAATGAGAACTTAATCTGGATATGACAAAAACATATATTTTTAAATTTAATACAAATTTCTGAAATAAGTATTTAAAATTAAAAGAGACATACATATACTTCAATGTCTTAAAATGTCTAGTTGTAATTATATAAACTTTCATTTAAAAATCAAATGACCTACATGTTCGAAGTAATTTTCCCCCAACATTTAGAATATAGAACTTTGTGCATTTTTGTGAAAGATGCTTATATGTTCTTTAAATTAGCAAAGGCTAGGGGTATCTCTACTATAATTTACAGCATGGGAAAACAATTTCCTATAGTTTATAAATTCGAGATTCCAAGTCAAGAAAAATTTGTTTGGTCTATCTGATTTAATGTTTTTAATCTGTGTTCCAGAAACAATTTTGCTGGTAGAAACTGTTCAGATTTGCTGTTTAAATAAAATGTTCACGTTATTTTCAACTGAAATTATCTCTTTATCCTAGAATTTTCTCCAATGTGGTTATTTATTAACATCTCAGTAAGATTAAGTATTAGAAATGTCATGAAGTAGGCCTGAAAATCCAACCCAGTCAATCGACCTACCAGTCAACTAAACATAAAAACCCAATTAGGCAATTCCTTGGTGTTGGGTAGAGTTGTTTTATACTGACTATAATCTTCACACATAATAGAATTAATCATTGCACAAAATAATGTAACATTATTACATTTACTAAGCACACCCAAATTCATGATCTCACTTATCTTTACAACAATTCTGACACGGGTATTAACGTCTTTTTTACAGATAAAGAAAGTGAAATTCAGAGATTCTGTGACTTAACCAAGGCAGGGCTTGAGTTAAAAATTAATGTTTTCTAAATGCAAATCCAGCTTTCATACCTCCAGTGTAACATGAAATCTGAAATAGAAGAATATGAATTTGGATGTAGAAAAAATAATTAAGCCATATCCCCAACATTCTTGATTTTGCACTTTTTAACTATTTGGTAAGGTATGTTAAATGTTGTTTGTAACTCGAGTCTGAAAGTTTGTGTTTGTTCAATAAATTGAGTTTCTGTGTGTTTTTTTTTTGAGTTTCTGTTTTATGACACATCAGGCAAACAGAATTTTGCATTACAATATGATCTAATCTATCTTATCACTTTCCAAAAAGATTTAAGGTATCTTTTTTTGTTTTTAACACAAGAAAGTATAAACTTTTCCATATCTACCTCTGTGTTCCACTTTCAATTGTGTCTTAAATGAAATGCTGGAGGACACTAACCCTCAGGATGAACATTAGAATCAGGTGAACTGTGAAAGAGGCAAAGGTCAGAAAGTAGATATCCTTGGTGAAGCTAACAATGTGGATAAAATTATTTTATGGATAATAATCTATATATTCTATGTAAGACTGGTTACTGCTCTAGAGATATTCAGGAGACATTAACTGAAAAGTATACTCCAAGAAATAGATTAAAACCGCAAAGTTTTTACGAAAGTATAGGTTGAGTAAGCCTAATCTGAAAATCTGAAATGCTTCAAAATCCAAAACTTTTTGAGCTCCAACATGACATTCAAAGAAAACACTCACTGGAGCATTTTGGATTTCAGATTTTCAGATTAAGGATGCTCATCCAGTAAGTACAATGCAAATATTCCAAAACCTGAAAAAATCTGAAATCCAAAACACTTCTAGTCCCAAACATTTTGGAGAAGGGATATTCAACCTGTATTATAATGAGATGGAAATCAAAGGAATTAGGATTTAGAAAAAGTAGATTAGGAAAGGGAGAATCTGTCAGTAAATACCTTGTTTTATACAAATGAAAAAGATACTGTATCTGAGGAGTGAGTGGAACTAGAATTCCTACAAAGGCATGTGGTGTATGGACCTTAAAAATGGTAAACTGTGAGTATAGGTTTTATGAATTTCATGAACTTCCTCATAGCTTATTCCCATCTGGGTGAAGCGACCTGAGATTCCAGGCCCCAAATACCTGAATCAGAAAATGACCCTGATTTCTGAGTGAGTTCAGCAGGGTACACAAAAACTCAAAAGGGTCTTCTTGAATAGTTCCTCCTAATGCTTCAAAACAGTAACAGAGTATCTAGTCTTCAAAACTATCTTCAAAAACAATCAGCAGACTGTATAGTCAAAATTAAGTGATTTAGAAAATAAACTTTCTCCATGTCTATACTATTCACAGAATTTGTCCACTGAAATTTCTTCTCAATTGGTAGATCTCTATTTAATGGATTTCTCCAAATTTTATTTTTGTTAACAAACAATTCAAGGCTTGTTTCAATCCTTATCATTTCACTAAAATGACTATCTCAAATCTGAGTTTTCAATTTAAAGTGAAGGTATAAATGCCACAAATAAGAAATACTATATAGGCCAGGTATGGTGGCTCACATCTGTAATCCTAGCACTCTGGGAGGCCGAGGTGGGAGGATTGCTTGAGCTCAGGAGTTTGAGACCAGCCTGAGCAAGAGTGAGACTCTGTCTCTACCAAAAAGAAAAAAATGAGTCAGGCATCATGGCATGCACCTGTAGTCCCAGCTACTCAGGAGGCTGAGGCAGGAGGATTGCTTGAGCCCAGGAGTTGAAGGTTGCAGTGAGCTAGGCTGACGCCACAGCACTCTACTCAGGACAACAGAGTAAGACTCTGTCTCAACAATAATAACAACAGCAAAAAATGAAATACTATATAAATGTTATTAAGCTTAATCAAACTAACATGCCATCATCCATCTGTAAGTCCGTTTCACAGTGTCAGAGTACATAAGAAATTACATAGGAATCAGATTGCTTAAGTCAATTTCCATCAAAAGAAGAATGTATACATGTTAGACTACCAAGTTATGACAATAAATCCACTTCATGTGGAATGGAACCTAAGATTTCTTTTTAAAAGTCTTCCTTTTGAAACTTAACATTTATAGTTTATTATGTAAAAGAAAAATAATAAAATTTTTTTTTTAAATTTATTTTTTTGAGACAGAGTCTCACTCTGTTGCCCGGGCTAGAGTGCCGTGGTGTCAGCCTAGCTCACAGCAACCTCAAACTCCTGGGCTCAAGTGATCCTCCTGTCTCAGCTTCCCGGGTAGCTGGGACCACACGCACACATCACCGTGTCTGGCTAATTTTGTTTATTTTTAGTTGTTTGGCTAATTTCCTGCTATTTATAGCAGAGACAGGGTCTCACTCTTTCTCAGGCTGGTCTCGAACTCCTGAGCTCAAGCAATCCTCCCTCCCAGAGTGCTAGGATTACAGGCGTGAGCCACCGCGCCCGGCCATAAAATGTTTTTAATCATATAGAATACATATATTAAAAACACTATTTTAGAAAGGACTATCAGAAAACAATTCAAAATTTAAAATTTTGTGCATGTTGTGTGCTGGGCACTGTTTAAAGAGCTTTACACATACTGACTCATTATTAGTTCTCATAACACGAGTTATATATTATTATTCCTATTTTATAGACAAGAAAATTGAAGCTAAAGGGGTTAAATAACTTTCCCAAGGCTACAAAGCTAAGGAAGTGGTGGCAAGCATTTGAGTGTAGGCAATATGGCTCCAGAAGCTATGTTCTTAAGTACTCCATGTCCTCTCATACTTTTATGTCTCTGTGTTGTTCCCTCTGCTTGGAAGGCTCTTCTTAATCTTATTCACCTGATTAACTCTTATCTGTCCCGTGAGATTGGTTCGACACTTACATTTCTCAGAAGTGTCTCCTGATACCACCACCCCTTCCAGCTGAGTGAAAGGTCCTTTGTTATTATACTTTTGGAATACCCATGCATACACCTATTAAAGCATGTATATGGAAAACAGTCTGTCTTCCCTACTAGACTGAGTTCTTCGCAATGACTCTTTGGTTATTTCTGCACCTTCACAGTAGCAGGGTGCCTGGCAAATAATGGGACTCTAATTAATTAACGAAAAGATTAGTACTGATTAAAAGTATATAAAAGAAGATACATCGTTCAAATATCATAACTGTTCCAGTATTGGGGAGGAACTCTACCGTAATCTATATATATAAACAGAAAATAAAGTTCTTAACAATATATAAGACAAATTTACCTTGGAAAGCAGACATACATTAGAGTAGAAACCATATTGTTAAAAAAAGGATACAAGTTTTGATACAATGGAATCAGTGATTTCAGAGCACGGCTTGCATTTATAGCTGTTGCTCTAACCATAAGGGGTAGAACCTTTCCATTCACAATTGCACCATCAAAAAGTGGACCAAAGAAGGGAACCTGATTGAGAAATTAGAACATAATTTTATATTCAAATTATAGAAAGATTGTGAGTAAGAGCAACCAAGACACTTTGCATACAAAAGTGTTTATGCTTCCTCTTTAGTTCTTCCTTCAGTAAAAATACCACTCAAATTCAATTTATTTTCCATGATGGGTCACTCATACTAAGAAAATAAACAAAACATATCAAGTCTACAGGGTGTCCATTCAAAAGAACTATGTGCTTCATGTAATTAAATAGTTTACACACTCTGATTTTCAAATTTTAGTAGTTTCAATTATAAACAAATGTCTAACACTAGAAGTAAATTTTTTCTCCATTGCGCAAACACAGAAAAGATACATATTCTTATAAGGCAGAAAGTTGGTTTTTCATTATTTTTGTGTGATACCAGCTTTACTACAGAACCTAAAATACTTATTACATGGTTTATTAGAAAAAAAATCTATGTTTTGATAATTAAATGTCATTTTTGTCAGGTGACTGAAAGTTTGAAAACAGTTACTCTATTTCAAAATGTTTAGCACAAATGACAGGTAAAGGCAAGGACATGAGCTGTAGATAACATGGTAAACATTTTAAATTTTGTGGTGACGTATTGTCTCTGTCGTATATTCCTCAACTTTTAAAAAAGAAAAACCAGGCCAGGCGCGGTGGCTCACGCTTATAATCCTAGCACTCTGGGAGGCCGAGGCGGGCGGATTGTTTGAGCTCAGGAGTTTGAAACCAGCCTGAGCAAGAGCAAGACCCCGTCTCTACTAAAAATAGAAAGAAATTAATTGGACAACTAAAAATATATAGAAAAAGTTAGCCGGGCATGGTGGCGCATGCCTGTAGTCCCAGCTACTCGGGAGGCTGAGGCAGAAGGATTGCTTCAGCCCAGGAGTTTGAGGTTGCTGTGAGCTAGGCTGACGCCACAGCACTCTAGCCTCTCAAAAAAAAAAAAAAAAGAAAAAAAAAGAAAAACCCTTTAAAAATTAAAAAAACATTATTAGCTTGTGGGGTTTATAAAACTAGACTATGGGCCATATTAGTTTGCTGACCTCTGGTTTAGATAAACCCTCAAAAGACCTGCCTATCAGCAAAATTCACACATGGAAAACTTAACCCAATTCAAGGAATTCTGAAGATTCATGATCAACTGTCAAAAAGCAGGCTTTCTATAAACTAAAATAATTCAGTTAAAAAAAAAAAGAGAAAGGAACCCACCAAAATACTACCATGCTTTTATTATCCTGAAAGAAAATACTTCTGTAATAGTGTTTGAACCCTATGGTATCTATAAGACATTCAACTATAGAATATAGGTAATAGGCTGGTTTTTTAAATTTGTAGAATCTTCATTTATTAAGTGACATGACTAAATACTCATGTAATCTTAGTAAAATGTATCAATTAAAAATATCAATTAAATGTATCAATTAAAAATATAAATTAAAATGTATCAATTAAAAACAGAATAGGACTAGAATAAGAATCATACATTCCTATTCTAAAGGGAATAATGACTTCTTACTGTGTTTTTTAGGAAACTGAATTATTCTCTTAATAAAAGGTAAGTTCTTTGGTGAGCTTGGTACAAAGGAACTTTTGCTCTGGCACTACCTAGACATCTCCCATCTGAACACAGTTTCTTCCTATTTATCCTGTTTTAGCTCCTTTTGAACCAGGCTTAGACAATCCACATAGCTACCAGAGTCTGTGTTGCATTTCTCCTCATTTTCACAATTTAATGCCTAGTCCGATTTTTCTTCTGTGAGATGGAAAGAAACTCACAAACCCCTCCAGAACTCAAAATCAATTACTAAAATGGAAGATAAGGAGTTCTTACCTCTGGTTTTTTCATTATCTGGATACTGAACATGTGATTTTTCATTGGATATATTACAATAAGGACATCACCAAATTCTGTAGGAATAATTCCTCTCCTGTAGTCTCTAGTATGCTCTGACCAAACGATGTGCACTTCATCGTTTCCTAAATGTCTCAACTGGAAAACCAAGAAAATAATTTACAGTGCTTTATAAAAGCTCTGTGAGTACAGTCATATAGCTACAGACAACAAGCTATAAAAATGGAAAAGATAAAGAAGCGAAAAAATTGTTAAATCTCATTTGATCATTTTCACATGTGAAACGTGAACACTCAAAGACATTAGGAGAGACTGCAGAAGATCAGATAATTTCAGTTGTCCATAATCAATGGGAAACAGAGAATTTAGATAAAAAAGATTCACATACAGTCCAAATACTCCCCTTAACTAGCAACTCTACCAATTTTCTACTACCAAACCCTTTAAAAGATGACTTAAAGGAGTGTTTTAAAAGAGTGACTGATTTGAGATTCTGAGATTCTTCTCCTTTTATCCTGACTACTCTCTGGAAGTGCTACTGAGCAGTGAGGTTGCCTGAGAAGGCAACAGGAAGACAAGTAAAAGAAATAGTAATTCATACATTGGGCAATCACCTATTAAGATAAAGTTGATTATGTTTGGTTTAAGAAATTTATTTCTAGGTTTTCTTTGCCCATGAAACTTAAAAATTCTTCCAAATAGATGTCTTGAGATTTGTTAGACTCTCAAGATGTTATTTAAACATTTGTAGTGCTTACAAAGGTGTTTCCGGCAATCAGAGTTAACATTACAATAATTAAAATAGCAAAAAAAAGCAAAGCATTCAAAAGTTGGATTTCTAATAAGTTACTGGAAAATTAACTTAGTGCCCATTAGTCTTGAGTTTTCTTCATAAAGACTAGTATATAATCATGAATTTTATTATAACATTTCATTATCCTAGCCCATTTATTGATTCTGTCACTGTAAACACTTGAGTCCACTTTTGGTGCGTATCTTACATGGGCTTTTCCATTACTTTCAGATAACTGAATACACTGCAAGTGAGAACATTTGAAAGAGAAAACTAGGGATAAGTCTCATCACCATTTACACTATAAACTAATGTACTAGCAATTTCTGTTTTTGAAATATGTCATTTATTTTGGCTTAAAGACCATAAGGCAGGAAAAAATTCCTGTGTGATTTAAACAAAGAAAGGAGTTAAGTCTAATTAGTGAAAGGCTCTCTTCTGTCACTTCTTAACCCTGGAGTAACTCTTTATACCTACCTGTGTGTGTATACAGATACACACACAACTTGAATGATATAAATGTGGGACTTGGGCTTTGTGACATTTTTAAAAAGCAAAAAAGATTACACAACTTAGAAAAGCCATGGCTCTATAATTTCATTTTTTAATCAAAATACTTTAAAAATATCCTTCCTATACAGCCATGCCCATGTGTCAGCTTCCTTAATAGGTTTATGTTAACTGAATACAAAAGAAATGTGAAATAAATTTAACCAGGAGGGATGATCCAATCTAATTTTGATACATTAATGTCATATGCTGTACATGTTACAATAGCAGCCAGATCTAATACTAAGCTCCAGGCTATACTGAGATTTCCAAATGGCAGATTGTTCTAAGTGATATCAAGTATAATTGAAGTAATAAACGATAGTAAAAGCTGAGCACACTGTCAGGAAGAATTTAAGTATTTACTTTTTAAAATTAAATGAGTTAGGTTAGGAAAGACAAGACAACTGAAATAATGCAGGTCTCAATTTACAGAAAATTCCTTTTATTTATCTGCTACATTAACCCTTGAACTCTTGCCAAAACTATCTATAATTTCTAGTGCTCACTTATCTAAAGAAACAAGAAAAAGGGGCAACTATACTTTTATCTTCCAACCAAAGCTTGTATTCAAATATCTTCCATACGATATTAAAAGTCTGTTAAAGAAATTTAATGGAAAAGAACAACATATGTTTGCCAAGATATAGTAATGAAGATTTCTGGCACAGAACCATGCATATAACAAAGTCATTCTAAACACGTTCAAACATTTTAAGGGAAAGTGTCATTAAAATCCCTAATCATTTATATTCAAACGCTAAAAAGGTAATTATTTTAGGTTGTCATGATGAGGCACATTTTTATATCTTTAAAATCTGTTATATAGTAATTAAACACAAATGGAGAAATTGCTAATCATTGCTATGAATCTTAGAAATTTCTGAAAGACAACTGAAACAATGATTTTTTTTTTTGAGACAAAAGTCTCACTCTGTTGCCTGGGCTAGAATGCAGTGGTGCTATCATAGCTCACTGTAACCTCAAACTCCTGGGCTCAAGTAATCCTCCTGCCTCGGCCTCTCAAAGTGCTAGGATTACAGGCATGAGCCACCACGCCTGGCCAAGAATGAATTTTTAATGGTTAAGAGTTAATAGAAATTTTAGGTCTGTATATATTTGACATACTTTATATACTATTTTATATTTATTTATTGCTTATCTCTTATGAACTTACAAGATTGTGTCCCATGAATACTCAGCAGATTTTCCTACACTCTGAAAACTCTTAAACCTCCCTATGTTTTTCTGACCCAGATGCGAATTCATTTATTTGACAGTACAAGACTTCTGTACATGGGATAGGTCTGTTAAAATGACTGGCAATGACACTACTCTTCTAAACTCACTTCAACTGCTGTTGAAGTCATTTTGGTATACATTAATAATATAGGCTATAGATTATCATTATTTATGAAGATAAAGCAGCTAAATGAAATTCAACATGCATACAACTGAAGTCCTTAATACACTGTAGAATGTCTAATTTCCCACTCAATATAGAGTGCTACGATATCCCTGAGAAACAGATATCTTGCTTCTGCTTGAATACTTCTAAGATTGGAGAGTTTACCAATTCACAAATCAGTCTATTTCAAGGAGCTACAGTCATTGAAACATTCTTTATACTACACTAAAACCTGCTTTCCTGAAACTAGTTCTTCTAAAATGAGCCTTATCAAATATCCAATCTGTATTCTATATATTATCTTTTCAGATATTTGAAGATCAGTCTAATACATTTCTTTTCCAGGTTAAAAGTGTTATTAGTTCCTCTTCTTATACTTTAAAAACATATTCATTATCTTGGATTATTATCTCACTTTACTGATGTTTCTATTAAATTGTAGTGTACAGAATAGAATATAATGTCAGTATAAGCTCTAATACAGTAAACCCAATGGTGGGACTGTTTCTTCCTTTGTTTTATTCACTGAATTATTTTCTGCATTTTTATAACGTTGGGTCAAACAGAACTTATAGTCAATTCAAACCCCTAAGTCTTTTTCTTACAAAGTTCTTTTAAAAAGGTAAAACTGACTGCTAGAACTAAAGAGAGGATTTCATATTTATTCCTACTAAATTTTCCCTTGCCAGGTTCAGATTATCTTTAAATTTATGAAGGTTGATTGTTAGCCTGATTCTGATGGTCAATGTGTTGGCTCACTCTTTCCCAGATTTGAGCTATCCTTAAATTCAAATTCTTGTGTGTTCATTTAGGTTTTGGACAAAAATGTCAAATGGGACAGGTTTGGGGTAAGAGCCTTAAAGCAAGTCATTAGAAACTTTCCTCCTGGTTAAAAAAAAATACCCAACATTTATTTATTTATTTTTTTTGAGACACAGTCTCACTCTGTTGCCCGGGCTAGAGTGCCGTGGCATCAGACTAGCTCACAGCAACCTCAAACGACCTGGGCTCAACTGATCCTCCGGCCTCAGCCTACCGAGTAGCTGGGACTACAGGCATGCGCCACCATGCCCGGCTAATTTTTTATATACATATTTTTAGTTGTCCAGCTAATTTCCTTCTATTTTTTTAGTAGAGACAGGGTCTCGCTCTTGCTCAGGCTGGTCTCGAACTCCTGAGCTCAAATGATCCGCCCGCCTTGGCCTCCCAGAGTGCTAGGATTACAGGTGTGAGCCACCATGCCCGGCCCCAACATTTATTAAGGTATTTATTTATTAAGTGCTTACTATTTATGATAGTTTATTTAATGTTTACAACAATGCTACGAGGTAAGTATAATTATTATTATTTATTTTTATTCATTTTTTTTTTGAGACAAAAATCTCACTCTGTTGCCTGGGCTAGAGTGCCATGGCGTCAGCCTAGCTCACGGCAACTTCAAACTCCTGGGCTCAAGAGATCCTCCTGCCTCAGCCCCTGGAGTAGCTGGGACTATAGGCACTCACCACTATGCCCAGCTAATTTTTTCTATTTTTAGTTGCCTGGCTAATTTCTTTCTATTTTCAGTAGAAATGGGGTCTTGCTCTTGCTGGGACTGGTCTTGAACTCCTGACCTCAAGTGTTCCTCCCACCTCGGCCCCTCAGAGTGCTGAGATTACACAGGTATCAGCCACCGCACCCAGCTGATAAGTATAATTATTATTACCACTATTTTTACAGGTGAGGAATTGAAGCTTAAAAGGAGGAAGTAACTCGCCTCAGGTCATACAACTAGTAAGAGCCAAGATTCTAAGCCTAGAACCCATACTTTAACCATTTCCCTATATTGCTTCTATTAAATAACTAATTTATGTATTTTGAATATGATTATACAATCAGTCATGAATATACTTACCATACATACCATTATTAAAACCACATTTCTTCAACTTGTCCACGACTTAGTTAAACGCTTTATACAGTCTATTGTCTTCCCTAACCTAGTAATCCTATTAAAACAAATTAAGTTATTTTCATGTGATTTATTATGGTGAACTCATGGTGGCTCCTAGTGATCACTACTTCATAATCTAAGTGCTCATAAACCATCTGTTTAAAATAATCCTATTTTGCCAGGCATTGACATGGAGCTCATGAATGTTGGTAATTTCAACAGTCTGTGGCCTGCTCCATTTCCTTTTGTGAAAATCAGATGTTTGCCCATTGCTATAGACTGAATGTTTGTGTCCTCCCAAAAGTCAAATATTGAAATCCTAACCCCCAATGTGATGGTATTGGGAGGTGGGAACTAGGTCATGAGGGTTCCTTTATAAGGGATGAATGCCCTTAGAAGAGACCCCAGAGAGTTCACTTGCCCTGTCTGCCATGTAAGGTTACAGCAAGAAGATG